AGCTGGGGAGGGCTTCCCGGAGCGGGGCTCGTCCCCGCTGGGTGGCAGCACCCTATCACTCATTTGGAGGCAGAGGGAGGATGAATCTCTCTCTGCAGTCACATCTCCCTCCCACAGCAGGGTTTGTAGGGGGCATTTTGTTCCCACAGGGCAGACTGTTTGGGGTCCCCACCAAGGCTGAAAAGTGATTCCCCCTCAGGAGGGGGATTTGAGCCACAGCTGGAGACAGCAGAGTGCTGATGAGAAGGCTGTGAGTAAAGCAATGACCCCAAAACCTACAGCGACATCATACTGTGCAGCTCCCTGGGCCCGTGAAAAGCCCTAATTTAGTCCTGGTCCTGGGAGGAACCCCAGCAAATCTTTCTTTAACAGAAACTTGTAGCCCAGCGCGGCCCTAAGTTGCATCCACTAAAGCCTCTAATTCTCGCCTGACGTTGCCCCTGAAATTGGCCGGTGAGGCGCCTCCCAGCGCCTGCTAAGCGCGCGTGAGCTGGTTCTTACCCGCGTCGCAGAGAAGAGAGGCCCAGGGAAGGCCCGCAGCATCCTGCGTCCGTGTGCCCTGAGCTCTGTGCTCGGTGACTGCCAGGACACCCAATCCCACGGCCGTTTGTAATCACGGGATGCTTAGGGAAGGCACTGCCGGAGCTCTGTCGTGGACAGTTCTCCAGCCATGGCATCGGTGTTTACCAAAATCAAATTAACAAAGTTCTGTCGTGGACAGTTCTCCAGCCATGGTATAGGTGTTTACCAAGATCAAATTAAGAAAGTTCTGTCGTGGACAGTTCTCCAGCCATGGTATCGGTGTTTACCAAGATCAAATTAACAAAGTTCTGTCGTGGACAGTTCTCCAGCCTTGGTATCGGTGTTTACCAAAATCAAATTAACAAAGTGACCAGTCACGTTTAGTCACGGAGAACTGAGACAGGGAAACTACCCGTCGCAATTGCCTATCCCTTTCCAAACACCGCTGAGGCTGGACCTCACTGCAAACATGCCGAGTGGCCCAGTGGCCCTGTCTCCTGTCAGCTCCCCGCGCACCCGTGAGGCATGGCTGTGCTGCCAGGGCCTTCGTCCTGCCGCGGGCCTGGCAGACAAGCGTGTGTTGATGGAGCCTGTTCTCTGCTCATGAGGCAGAAGTGCAGCCACGAAGGGACCACGGGCGGTGTCGCGCTGGCCGAGCTCACTTCACCCAGCAGTCACCGAGCGCCTGTGTTCTAGGCAGCCTTCTAGGCACTGGGGATACTGTGACAAACCAGAAATGCAGCCCCTGCCCCCAGCATATTCTAGAGGGGAGCCTGGCAGGGAGTGAAAAGCAACCTAGGCCTCCTGGAAGAAAAGGAAGGAAAGGAGGGCAGGGAAAGGCTTGGGGGGGGCATGCTGGCAGGAAGCCAAGGCCGGGCCTTGAGGGTTGGGGGCTCTGACCACTGGGCCCAGAGGGTTATGGACCATCAGATGCCACCCCCACGTCCATGCTGTGTCCTTGCAGCTCCGATGCCCTCTCCTACATGGTCTCAGGTCATGCAGAGCCAGACACCGCTGCCAGCTGCCAGTAGTCTCAGGAGTGGTGCATCCTCTGAGCCAGCTGCAGGATGCCCCCTAGTGGCTGAGTTACTGAAACTCTCAAGTGTGCCCAAGCACGTCTCCCTCAAAGATGCAGAAACAGGGCAAGGAACAGACAGGGCTGCACCCACCTGCTCCCACCAGGCCTGGGGCTCACCCATGCCAGCCTTTCATCATCATGGACAGTATTTAGGACATCTGTTTCCATCCTTCCTTTTTTTAAAAAAATTTTATTTTTGTTTAAAATATTACAGATGTCCCTTTTTCTCCCCAATGACCCGTTCCACCCCTTTCCTTTCCCCTTCCCCTCCCCAGTCCCTCTTCCCAGCATTGTCCTGTCCTTGGGTTGTGCATATATGCATATAAATTCTTTAGTTACTCTCTCCCCCTCCACCCACCCGCCCTCCTCCATCCCTCTGACATTCGTCAGTCTGATCCATGCTTCCATGTCATTGAATCTATTCTGTTCATCGGTTTATTAAGTTCTTTAGATTCCACGTATAAGTGAGATCATGTGATGTTTGTCTTTCGCTGCCTGGATTATTTCACTTAGCATAATCTTCTCCAGGTCCTTCCACACTGTCCCAAAGGGTACGAGATTCTTCTTCTTCACAGCTGCATAGTATTCCATGTGTGTAAATGTCCCACAGCTTTTTTACCCACTCATCTACTGATGAGCACTTGGGCTGTTTCCAGATCTTA